TATTTCATTTATGTATTATCAAAATATATGTTTTATTGATTTTATGTTGAATAAAATATTGAATAAATCAATATTTTCATTCTTAATTATTCATTCTTTATTCTGAAATGTTGTGTATATTTATTATATTAAATGAATATGATGAATGAATATCAATATTATTGTTTATTTTATTTTAAAAAATAATAAATGAATATGAAATAATAAATGAAATAAAATAATGAAGACAATGAAATGATAATGAAATAAAATAATCTAATATTGAACAAATCAAATAAAGAATATATTGAATATATCATTATTGTTACTTTATTATTTGTTATTTCAATTATTAAATATTAATAAATTATTATTCATGAATATTTAATTGATATTTTACAATTTCATTTTCATTTTATTTAATAAATGAAATATAAATAATAAATGAATAATAATTTAATATATGAAATAATAAAAAGAAAGATAAATAATAAAGAAATATGATGTATTTAATATATAATATAATTTATTATCAAATATAATAATATCAAATGATGAATTATTTTTATTTCAAAATATTTTGCATCATTAAATTTTGCGTTTTTTATTGTGCTATTTTATTTGTTGCAATGAAATTCACATCTTTTATTTTTTTCTTTCTTTTCTTCTTTTATATTCTCTTTTTCTTTCTTTTTATATTCTCTCCTTTCTACTTTTATTCTTTCTTCTTATTCTACTTCTTACTTTCTTTTTATTCTTTTATTCTTTTATTTTTTCATTGTCTATTTCAAGAATTGAAAGTATAAAATATTAATCTTCATTTTATGAAATGAATAATAATTTCAATATGACTAAATAACAATTCATTAAATAAAGTTAATATGTATTTCTTTTGTTATTCTAAATATTTAATCAAAATCATTGTATTTCATCAATTTCAATGTACTTTATAATCATCAATTAATTTAATAAGATAATCTAAATCATTATGAATGAGATTATGTATATTCTATTATTCCTTCTATATTTAATTGATACAACATATAAATTAATAATTAGATAAATAAAGTAGTATTAAATTCATAAAATCATTTCAAGAAATTAATAAATGAGATATTATCTTGATAATCATCTTCTTTATGTTATTTAGATGTTTCTTTTCAATATTTCATCATTTTATATTTCCATCTTCTTTCAATTCTTTGTGTTGTATTTATAATAGTTTATTTTCTCATTTGTTTTTGTTATGATGTGATATATCATAAATCATATTATGTAATATTCTCTTTAATTTCATGTATTGTTTATTATTTATCAAATCTCTTAATCTAAATATTTTGATTGAAATACTCTTTCTATACCTCTTTCAATTTCTTTCATAATTATTTCTATTAATTATGTTAATATTTGAAGTTATACAACTAATATGATGATAATAAACATTTAAAATATTGATTAATATTTTATTTTTATTCATTATATTAATTATTTAATATACTTTCTTCATATTATAAAGTAATTAATGAATTGTACATCATGTTCATTCATTTCTTCTTCTTTGAATATTTTCATTCAATTTTCTTATTCTCTTTCTTCTTTCGTATTCTTGTTTATTCCAGATAGTAACTCTTTTAATTCATTCCTTTCATTTATTGTTTTATTATTTCTTCCTCATTTATTCTATTTATTTCTCTTTTAATTTCATTCATTATTTTAAATGTCTTCTTTAATACCTCTCTATAATCTGTAATTTCACTTACTTTAATTCAAATTCTTGTATTAATCTTTCTATTCTTCTTTTACTTGATATGTTATTTTTCTATCAAATAAATTCAAAACAAAACATTAATAGAGTGTTAGAATTTCTTCATCTCTGTCTCATAACTGTTTTATTGATTGTCTAGTTCAAATGTTGTGATATTCTTATGTTGAATTTCATCTCTTCATTAGAATGTTTCTCTTTCTTTTTGGAAAATCATCTTCACATACTGATATTTCGTCAGCTACTACAACATTGATGGAGATATTATTCACAAAGTGTATTTCTAATGAGTGTGTTGAGAATTATCTCATCTTTCTTCTTTTCTTTCTGTGTAATTTTATTTTCTAATTTAGATAATTTATCTTTCAGGAATAATAATTGATGTGATAAATTGTTTATTTCAGACATTTTCCTTTCAGATGAAGCATGAAATTAAAAAGAAAAAAAAAAGAAATACAAAGAAATGAATTAATAAGAGGTGAAAGGAGAAGAACGATTGTCACAAGTAAGTCCATGATGATTTTGCTGAAGAAGACTTTGAAAATGACGAATATAAAGAAGAGCATTTTTCATGTCGAAATTAACCTTTCTTAAAACAGATAAAGCATTATCATGAGAAAGTCTTCCACGAGATGCTGTATTAATTAAAGCTGAAAGACAATTTTTAGTAATATTAACACCGATTTGTTGGACAGCATTATTAAAAAGATGAATATGATCATTACAAATCTTATTATTAATAAGAAGAAGAGTTCTAGTGAAATTAATAGGTTGATTATTAAAATGAAGAATACCAAAAACAGATATTTCTTTAATTTGACCAATTTCAATAATATCAAAAGCAATTTCCATCATATTATATTCAATATTATTAAGAAGAATAATTTTAGAATAATAATTATTATAATTTAACATTTTTCCAATAAGTTCATTGATTTCTTTTTCTTTTCTATGATTTCTATTTATATTATGAATAAATTGATTAATAATTGGACAATTTGGTGATAAACTAATACTAATAAAATGAATTGGATTATAATATGAATTAACATTAATTTTATTTCTTTCTTTATCAAAAAATTCTCTTAATATTTCTTTAATATTTTTAAATGTTGAATATTGTGAAAAATATCCCATTGTTATTTCTTTTTCTATGTAATTCTTTTGAACTCCAAATTGAATTTGATTCTCTATTTTATTCCCATTAATTATTGTTATATTTGGTATCATTTTTTGTATTTCTTCTTCAATATTTCTTCCTTTAATTGGATTATTTCTTAAATCAATTTCTTCTATTCTTATATTAATTTCTTCTATTCTTTCTATTTCATTATTTGATATATCTATCCCTTTAACTATTGGATATATTTTATTAATATTATTAATTACTTGTATACTTTTTATTCTATTCCCTGAAAGACATATATATTTAATCATTGAATTCTTATCACTAATACTTTTCATTATCCTTTTGATAAATACTTCATCTACTTCTCTTTTACTTCCTATTTCCCCTATTTTCTCTTTGAGTCTCGACATGTCTATTATTCCTTTCCTTCCATCATACCATTTCTCTAAAATTTCTTTCCCTATCTCTTCTATCCTTTTTTCTTTGTTTTCTATTACTTCAACTCTCACCTCCATATCTTTATATCGGATTATTCTTTTCTTTCCTTCTTTATTCATTTCTTTCTTTTCTACTTGACATATATAATTCATCCCTATCTCTTTAATCTTTCCAATTCTTATATTCATCTCTCTCTTTAAAAATTCTTTAACTTGTTGTCTTGTCCCATTAAAATTATATACTCCTATCTTCATTCCTTTCTTTTGTTTTTTTAGTTATTCTCTTCTTTCTTTTTCCTCTCCCTTCTACCTTTTTCTTTTCTCAAAATCTGAAAAACAAGTTTTATATTCTATTAAAAGGAATTTGTAACTGAAACAAATTTCAATTAATAAAATCATTAACAATGTCTATGAAATGAGTAAATGAAATATTCCCTAGTTCCAGCGTTTTAATACAAATATACTCACTTAGTTGAGTTAGTTTTTTTGATTCCTTAAATCTAAGATAATTTGGATCTAAATCACCAACTCTACACCTATCAAGAGCATCTGAGTCTTTGAGTATCGAAACTACAATATAGTCATCTTCATTTGGTTTACTTTCTCCTGTACAATGTTTAATAACAGCATTCTTGATATAGTTTTGTTCTGTTTCTGAAATAGAATAGTTTACGATATGATTTTTTAACAAATTAAATTTTGTTTTTGCAGCTAATGAACCATGTTCAGTACAAATTCCATCTCTTTTTCTTGCCATATCATGAATAAGAGAACCACATGAAGCCAATAAACCAAATCTTCTGTTTTTTGTGTAATAGCCAATAATTAAAGAAAATAATACAACTCTATATGTATGAATTAATCCATGAATACTATTTGGGTGATCAAAGTATGTATCTGAAATATCAAAATCAGATAATATTATTCCCATACTTTTTACAATAGATTTGATTGATTCTTTATGCCATTTAAATGGTTTATGAAGTAATTGAACAGAACTAATTGTCAAGTTTTGTAGTTGAGAAAATAACAAGTCTTTATTTGTTTTAATAAAATGAAGTATTTCACATAAATAGAAACTTTTATAAACACAGCAAGAATTATAAATTTTTACATCACATCCTTCAGTTTCTATAAAATGATTTTTTACACTAATTTCAATCCATTGAATTAAACCTTGAGGAATAACTATTTTATCTATTTGAAGTGTTTGACAAATGTAATTAATAATAAATTGTCTGTATTGAATTGCATTATCTAAATTATTACAAATCACTTGATTTTGGATACAACAAAGACTAGTTATATTATTTTCTTTTTCTAAATCCTTTTCAAGAATAAATGAATTTAAACATGGAATTATGAATTGGTCATATTGCTTATATCCAAAGTCATGAAGGTAAATTGGGTCTAAATGAAATAATTTTCTTTTTACAGCAAGACATTCTTTGTCAAGTAACGTTATAAGAAGTTCATAGACTTCATTAGAGGTATTAAGAGAAATAATTCTTCTATCAATAAGTAAAAATTTATTAGTTAGAGTAATAACCATTTTACCTTATTGAGGATTATTATTTTTAAGTTCTTTAAGTACTATGACAATTTTGAATCGTCCTTAACTTGTTAGATGCAAAAACTAAAATTACAAAAGATAAACAAAATCATATCTAATCTAAATAAGATTTTTCTTCTTCAAGTTGTTTTGGAGTAAGTTTTTGAAGGAAATATCCAATGACAATCATAATATCTGTTACTATACAGAAAGATATATCAAAACATACTTTTGGTGTAAAAATTCTAAAGATTTCTAAATGTCCAGATACAAAGTAAGTAAAGAACATTATAGGAACTAATTGGTATATAAACATAGTTGTGAGACATAAAGAACTTTGAATATACAAAGACATCCCAGTAGGATGAGACTTTAAAATTATTAACAAACCAAAAATAATACTGATACTTGGGAAGAAGAATGTATTCAAAATAACCAAAAATCCATTTCCAAAGAATGAATAGAATGGTATTCCAATAAATCCAGCATTAAACTGAATATCACTAAATTGGAATGCATGTCCACTTAAGAAGAAGAAATGAATTCCAAAGAAGAAAAATACAAGAAGTACTCCTAATTTGAATGAATATTTCTTGAAATACCATATTAAAAATATAAAAAATATAATAGTTATTAACATGTTTAATGGTAATATTACGCTTAGAACAGGTATTAGTGAATATAAACAATCAATATCTTTTTTTCGTATAAGAACTACCATTTTTATTAAGCTTAAAAGATAGATCGAATCAGGAATTAAAACAGTCAATAAAGGAATAGATGAATTTTCTATTAAATGATATATGCATGATAATAACATTGCAAGAGATAATAAAATGTCGTGTTTGTAGAAATAAAACATCAATATAAGTGAAAAAATACAAATATATCCAACAAATTGACATACGAGATAATTCCAGTTGGACAATAAATAACAAAAAACTAATTCTGTAATTGGAAATTGTTTTGTTTCTAACCAATTAAAATATGTCAATACGATAAAAGAACATATACCAACATAAAATGATGTGTATTTTTCTTCTTTAATAAAAGAGTCAGTGCATTGTCCAAACCCATAAATAAGAGTAACAACAGCAACTATTAACAAATCAAAAGGAATGTTTGTTGTTAGTGTTTTTAAAGTAAATGGAACTTTAAGAAATGACATAAAACATCCAATAATATAACAAACTTCTGAACAAATTATCATTCCCATAAGCAAACATTCATAAAAACTAAAATTGGAAGTTGTGACTAGTACTAATCCTAAGAAGATTCCAATAAACAATCCAAATATTAATGACTTATATGGAACAATTGAATCTTTTGGAAGCAATAATGTAAGCAATGACACAAACAATGACAAAACAGTAATGATAATACCAGCTAACATATAATTGAATTTGAATGTTGATTTATGTTCTACATATTGTTTATGTATTTCATGACTTATTCGTTCATGTTCATTCATTAATTCTAATAACTTTTCTTGGTTTTCAAACCATTGAATTTCTTCTTTTTGAACTTTTTGAATTTCTTCTTCTATTTCACTTATCCATGTTTCTCGTATTATTCCTTCTTTTTCTTTTAAATATCGTATTATTTGATTCGTTGTGATGTTTAATGCATTCACATATCTTTGAATATCTTCAAGTTTCTCTTCTCTTCCTAATATAATATCTCGAATCGGTGTTCCAATGTTACTGTATGGTATAGGAATACCCATTCCAATTGCTATCGTTGGTACAATATCAATTTGTGTTATCTTCTCTACTTCTTTTCTTCCTCCTTTTCGACTTTTCCTATTATCATAAACAAACATCCCTGCATCTAATTCTTGTAGTGTTGATCCTCCATGGTTCCCTTCTTCTAGTAATCCATGATCACCAAATACTAATGCTAATGTATCTTCAGGTAATGAATATAATGATCGATTAAGAATATTATTAATTTCAATTAATTTTTTCTTCATTGATGGATGGTTAGCAACATAGCAATGACCCACTTGATCAATTCCAAGAAAATGAGATATCATTACATCATAATCACTTTCATTTTGATGACGTTGTAATGCTTTATCACATATATTATCAACACTATCTATATCTGAGATATTATGAGCTGTATCATTTGAAACGTCATTAAATTGAGTAGGATATAAATCAATCCATAATGAATCTCCTTCAAAAACTGTTCTTAGTCCATTCTCTTTAAATTGGTGTATTAATGAATCTTCAACAATAGCAGGGTTATTTAGAGTATTTGATATTTCAATAGGTACAGGAACACCTCCTGTTGTCATTGCTTTAACACGTTGAATAGTAAGTGTTGGTGGGTCAGGAATGAAATGATATTTTGAAGAACGAGAAGGATATTGATTTTCTAAAGAATTAAAAACACCCATATTATTATGGTAGAATCTAAAGTTATTAGGGTCAGTGATATTCTCAAACAAAGGAGGATAGTCAGTAGAAAAAGCAAAATCAAATCTAAGAGCATCAACAAGATACAAAGCTGTTTTCTTAAATAAAGGAGTTGTCCAACATAATTCAGGAGGATGAGACTGTGCATAAAGTGTATTTGTCATTAAGGGATCATTACATTGACTTTTCTTTTGTGATTGAATCGATGTGATTAAAAACCCAGTTCCATAAAGATAAATTCCAACTAAATGACATAAGAGTATAAAGAAAAAGAGCCAAAAGAAAGAACTGATTAGGGATGTCATACTTATTTTATTCTTATTAAAGTTCGTTCAAACCAACATTCGATGATATAAAAAGAAAAGTGATTATGTGGTTGCCACGTGATAAAAAAGAAATGAGAAAAATAAATTTTTTTTGGAAATTCATCGAAAAAAACTTTTGATGATCAAGACTAAAAATAGAGAATAAAAGAAAAAAAATGGCAGCAAAATGGCTCTTTTGAATAGTGCTGAATGACTAAACAAACTAAAATTAATAGAAACAAACTAAAATTATGGATGAGAAAAGCAAATTTCAAAAAGTAAAAAATAGTGGGTTCTATTTATATTAACTTTTCAATTTTTTTAATTTAGTTCAAAAAAATCAGATCATTAATTTCAATGACTGAGGTTGTTCGACCATTTGCTCTTCCTTGTATTACTTTTAAAAAGTTTGTTTATTTTGAATCAAATTTAACAAAACGATTAAGACTTAATGTTTTAGTTTTTGTCCATCACTTCATTTCAAAAGAACTGTGAGAAGAGAAAATGTACCGCATTGTGATGAAAATCCGATTCTTGCTGATAAGTCATTTGTAAATTCACATTTAAAAGATTGTGAGATGTCTAAATTAAATCAAAGACGCATGAAAATTGAAAGTGATAATGAAAAGATTAAAGAACCTCCTGTTGAATGTGAAATTCATTTTTAATAAAAAGAGAATATATCTATGTGAAAATGGATAGTGGTGTCGTATATGTTTAATTAAATAATTAAGAAGAAATATGTTTTTGATTTATCTGAATATGGTAAAAACAAAAAAAAAACAAAAAGTAAAATAGTAAGCAGAAAGGAATTTAGTAAAAAGGGAAATAACTATGATACTTTTAGATTCAAAAATAATAATAATATAATTAATATTTTATAAAATAATTTCTTTCTTTTTATTTAAGAAAAATAAATACATTTCTTAATTTTTTTTTTGTTTTTTTTTTTTTTAAAAACAAATGTAAATAAGATTCTATTTATTATCATTAAAAATCAAGTTGTTATAGAATTGAAAGAATAATATAAATACAATCTTGAGTTTACCTATAACTTATCAATTAATTAAAATAAATTTAATCTTGTTTAGACTCATCTCTCAAGACGATTCAACTAACAAATTCTGAATAGAATTCTATAAGTAATACCAGTTCAAATAATCTATCTAATAAAATTAAAATTCATATTAAGATAAGGAATAAAAAGCAAGACATGAATAATTAATGTAAGAGTAATTGAAAGTATTTTATTTTAAGAGAAACCAAAGTGATAAAAAAAAAGAAGGTTATTGTTATTAATTTGAACAAAAGATAAGACCGATTTAAAATATGAAATTAGATAAATAAGGATGAAAACACTCCATATGATCGAGGCTTAGGTATTGCTGGTGGAAGGAAGTATTCAATAAAAGAAAATATACTACAAAAATCCATTATTTTTGGTAAGAAAGAGACAAATGCTCGAGTAATAGGTGGTTTAAATGTCCAATTTAAAAGAACACATATTGTTAATAAAGTAGTCATAGAACTATTCAATCTTCCAAAGTAAGTTGGAGTAATTGTGAATGAAGTATATTGAGATGTATCAAAGAATTTATCCCATTCAATCTTTATAATTAATTGTTATCAGAAAATAATGAAATTAAACAAACTGGATGAGGAAATGCTAAATATCGATGAAGTAATGAACCAACAGATAACAACACATCTCTTGCAAATACATTTGATGCGACTTGTGGTGGTACTCTATTTACACATGACAATGACACAACTGTTGTTCCTAATAATAATTTATCAAGAAGACTTGAAAGTAGTGGTGCCATTGATGGTTCATTATACAAAGTATTCATTGAATGATCAATAAAAGCAGAAAGAGCTAATGAACAAGTTGCAATACCAGAATTACCAATTATAATATTATAAGAGGTAGTTGGAATAAGAAGGGATTTTAAAAGAACAACGAGATTTCCTTTATTAGCTCTTAAAGCAAAGTTCAATAAATTGACTCTTTTAGGAATCAATGAACTATTCATTATTCTATGAACTTTTTAGTTTTAATTTTTTTAATAAAAAAAAAAGTATGAAATTATAAAAGGAAAAGTGAAGATCAAATTAATTTATTCAACCCAATAATCAAAATCTTGTAACGCAATAATAATATCTTCAGATTTCTTTTTAAGATCTTTTGAAAATATTAATTCTTTAACTTCACAAATACTATCATTTTCAATAGACAATACTCTAACAATTTTCTTTGCAGTTTGAAAATCATATTTCAGTCTCATAATTTTTTCAATTAAATCAGTATATATTTGATTATCAGATTCTTTTGAGTGACGTTCATCATTAGGGTTATTATAGAAACAAACATCAGTTCCATAAGTATGTTCCATTATTTTTGAATCATACCATTCTTGATAATTATTTTCTTTTTGGATATTCCAACACATATCATTTACAAATGAATGTAATTTTTTAATTGTAGAATCATTTTTACAAATAATATAAATCGTTGTTATTCTATGAATATTATCTTCATTTTCTTTTATATTCATATCAAATGAATAAATATTTTCTGAACCAAGTTTCTCATTAAATACTTCTTTAGTTACTAATTCATCTTCAATTATAATTGAATAAAAATATGGATAATAACAATATCGTTGTGCTAAAATTTTATTTTCTCCTATTATTTTTTCTATTAATTCATAACAGTTATCAATCTTTTCTTGAACTATTTCCATCTTCTCTTTAGCTTCTTTAACATTTTCTTCTTCTACACTTGAATTTGCTTTTGACTCTATTACTTTCAATACAAATTTTAAATTATAAATATGTTCTAAAACAGTATTAATTTTCTCTTCACATGCTTTGTATTCAGTATCCTTTTCAATAAAATTTGGAATATACTTCATTTATTTAATTATTTGTTAGTTATTTTTTAGTTGTAATTAATTAGTTCTTTTCATTAACATTTTTTGTTCAAATTTATAAATTTTTTCTCTTTATGTTTTTTGATTTTGTATTTGATATATCCGAATTTAGAAATTCAATAATTTAATTGAGTATCTATTGAATAAAAGACTTTTAAATCATACAACTAAATTATGAATAAATCAATTGGATTATAGCCAATTCTTTGGTTTATTTTTTATTGTTACTCTCACCATTTTTAGTTATTATTGTTCTTATTTGTTTATAGAAATGTAACATAATCTTTTTCATTGTAAAGAAATAAAAATATTCTAATTAATGTTATTTACTTCACTATTCAAATTTTCATTGTTTTGAAAAACTGTTTCATTATTATTATTTTTAGCTTCACTATCACTCTATGTGACGCTAAAGTCGTTTGTTGAGGTGCTTAGTTGTGGGTTTGTATCAGCAAAGTTATTATAAGTAATACATATCATCTCTCATTTGCTTTGTTCTTATTATTGTTATTATGTTTATTTTCATTTAGACTTGAAGATAACTCGTCACAACACCACATAAACATTAAAAAGACACAAACAATAACTAATAAACAAATAATAACTGATTATGGTATTTTAATTTGATAATAATATGAATAATACATGATTTTAAGAAAGAAAAATGAAATAATAAGAAATGAATAAGAAAAATAAATGATGATGTTAATAATAAATGAAAAATAGATGATACTTTAATGATAATGAAATAAACAAATAAAAATAAAGAAGATAAACAATAAAAGAAATAAATAAAATGAATCATGAAAAGAATAATACATAATACACAATGAATGAGAAATTAATCAACACATAATTAATTATTTTTTATGATTATTTCATTTCTTCTTTTCAATATGTTATTAATCATTTATTTACTTTTCAATACAACATTTCATTTATTATTCTATTTCATTGTTATATCTTTTATAATTTTTGAAGTACTTGTTATTGAATGTATAATATTTCATGTTTTTATAATCAATATTTCATATATCATTTCTACTTCAATCTTTTTCAAAGATCTAGTTTCGTTCATTTTCATCATCCATGATAGTGGTGAAAATAAAAATGATAAAAAAAAAGATAAATAAGAGAACAAAATCTATAAGTAATCTTGTTTCACATTATTGGGAGATTGGGCAAGTGACTGAATGATTAGTGGGTGTTTCTTCTTTAACTGTTCTAATATTGCTCTAACTTCACCTCTCATACTATCTTTTTCATATTTACAACGTATTAAACGTGGTAATTCAATATATTTTGTCCATTCTTGAATTAAAACAACTGGAACTTCAATCAATGGTCGAATAAATTTTATTCCATATTTTTCTGTTGTGAATTGAGCAGGAATAGTAGCAACACAACCACAAAACAATTGGTTCATTAATAACGTTTCAGCAACATCATCCATATGATGTCCCAATGCAATAGAAGTAAATCCATGTTCTTTTGCAAATTTTAATAAAGCCCTTCTTCTATTCTTTCCACAATTTAAACAAAAAGTAGTATTTTTATCTGCGTCTTCAATATCTGACTCGGACATTTTTTCTGATTGGAGTGAAATAAAAGGAACCCCAAATGACTCACAGATTGTTTTAGATTGTTCAAGATCTAATTGATAACCAACTTGTGGATTTGTAACATGGACAGCAACTATATCAATTGGGAAATTAACATTTTTTGAGAGAGTAGAAAGGACATGAACTAACAAGAATGAGTCTTTTCCACCAGAAAATCCAATGATAATTCGATCATGAGGTGATATAATTTTTTCTCTTCCGTTCATTTTCCAGAATTTTGAATAGATTTTATTAAACAATCTCTTCTCTTCTTTCTTTGGTGTTTGTTTAGTTTTATCCATTAAAACTTCTGGAAATACTTTTTAAATTTTAATGATAAAAAAAAAGATAAAACCTAAAACATTCTGTTGAAAAACGAAATAAATCTTTATCTCAAGAGTTTTTCACATTGAGCAAGTACTTTTTGTGCATTTGGGTCATTTGAACTAGCAAGCATGTCTCTTAAAGCACGGACATTGGTTGGAGAATTCTTTTTAGCAACTTTCAAAGCGTCTTGATATTTTTCTAATTCTACATTAACTTGAATTTGTTTTAAATCAGATGGAATTGCAGCAATGAGTTTTTCTGGTTTACCTTTGAATTTAGTTCTAACAGCTTTAAAGATTAAGTCTGCTTTTTGTTCATCAGTAAGAGATGTATTTTGTTTTAAGAAATCAAGTAATTCAGGTTCTTTAGCAACTTCTATTAATTCTAAATAATATTCAAACGCAGTTTTAGGCGCTGTTTCATCATCATTTGGTGATGATAAAACAGCATTAATAATTTCATGTAATAATTGGAATCTTCTTTTCTCAAAGAAATATTCTGCAATTGTTGCAACATCAGTTGTAGATTTTAAATCAAAAACATTAACACGAGCAAGACCTTCATCAACCTTTTTCATTGAACTTAATAATTCCATTACACGTTCTTGTGCACCATATTTTTTAACCATCATTGTATGTTTAGCACGATCAATAACATTTCCACATCTTTCAATGATTTTATCAATTAATCCTAATACCTCTTTTCTTTTACCAATATCAGTGAAAGGAATAGTATTGAAATATTTAGATGATCCCATGTATGCCTTTTCATATAATTCAATCTGAAGAGTAATGTCAAGATAAATATCCCATAATTCATTCTTTTCTAAGAAATCAAGTAAATGAGTAATATCTTCTTGATGTGTATCTTTTAATTTCTTTAATGTTTCTTTCATAATTTGATATTGTTTATTATCTAATAATGCTGGTAAATAAACAGTTTGGAAGAATGCATTTTCTGATAATTTAACTGGTTCTTCAAGTGCATAAACAAATGCTTTTTCAAATTCACCTTCAACAATATATTTATTAACAATCCATTGTTTATGTTTTTCACATGGACAAAATTGGAAATAATACTTTGCTTCTGAATCCCAAGTAAAATGTTGTCCTCTTGTTTTTGAACGATTTTTATTATCAATAATTTGTTGTTTGATTTGAAGCCATTGTTCATCTGGTTGTTTAATATTTTCAGGTGCAGCTAATCCTTGTGATTTGCCATTTAATTTATTTGGAACTGATTTAGGATTACTAATAAAATTAACTAACATTTGACAAGATGCATTATCTCCAAACTTAGTATTTTTACCAATTTCCATATAAATATTTTCTACAATTTCCATTAATAATGGTTTATCTACTTTTTCTTTTAACTGATCAAATACATCTCTTGCTTGTTGGTATTGTTTTTGTTGTAAGGTTTCATAAAATGATGTCATTAATACAGGAACATTATCTAATCCAAGACATTCTCCAATTGCTAATGCATCATTCTTTCTAAAAACACTTTTATCATGTAATTCTGAATGTAAAGATTTTGCAATTTCAGTATTAGTGAATAATGTATGGAATGGAATTCCTGAAGTAAAATGTGTTGTAGTCATTAAAGTGAAATAAACTCTTACCAATTGTTTTAAATGATCCATTTTTGTTTTCATATTTTTTAATGTTTCATTTTTACATTCTTCTTCAGTTAAAAGTTCTTCAAAATATTGTAATAATTGATAAACAAGACATACCATATTTCTACTTTTTTCTCTTGATAAAACTTCACTTTGTAATTGATTAGCAACATTAAGACAATTTTCATAACAAATTCTTGACCCCATTTCAAGTGTAGGTGCTTGTGAATAAATTTCTTTTAAATTATTAAATAATTGACTATATCCTCCTACAAGATTATTTTCAAAATTATCGTAATATTGTTGTGTAGTTTCTTTGGCAAATGCTAATAAAAATTCTTCATCCCTTAATCCAGAGAATTTGCTTAATATATCATTTATTGACAATTTACTTTGACCTCTATTCTTTTGAACACATTCTTCTATAATCTTTAAAATATCTGTTCTTTTAGATGACATATATGATACAAATTCACTTGCTTCTTCTTGTGAATCTCCATCTAAAATTACATAAATTGCTGTAACTATAATTTGTTTTTCTTTATCTTTTGGAGCTGGTTGAATAAAACTAAGACAATCATAGGCTAATCGATATTTTTTCTTTTGTAAAAGTAAATCAACTGTATTAACATTAATATCAATTTCTTTTACTTCTAAAACCATTTCTATTTGATGTATTAAATTAGTTTTGTCATACATTTGTTTTAAATTAGCAGGGAAATTATCTAATGAAATTTCACTAACACATTCATTAAATAATTTCCAACATTGATTTTGTGAATATACACCTTGTTCTAATACTTTAACTGTTTGAATTAATCTTTTTTGTGGATTAGAAATTCTTATTAATACTGCAAATATTTCATCAAATAAATTATTTGTTGCTGTTCTTTTATTTAATAATTCTGTTAATTGTAATGTAACTATTTTTTCTACTAAATCTTTGGATTTGGTTTGAACTGCATGAGAATAAGCATTAGTATAATCTGCTTTACTAAGATAATAATTTGCCATGGTATCATGGAATTTTTCATTTCCTCCTACACTTGGATCTAATAATACTTTAAATGCTTCCATTGAATATAAATTAAAACTAACATTAAATTCTCCATTTCCTGGATTGAATGCACTTTCAAGTTCTCTATATTGAGTTAATTTCATTTCAACAAATTGTCTTAATGTCTCTGGTAATGAATTAATAATTTCAATGTCAAAAACTGGTATTTTAAAATTAGTTGGATCAACAGAGAATAGTGCAAATACAATAGCAAGATCATCTCTTCCCATATCATGTAATAATGTTTGTGTAAATGAATCTAATTTTCTTGTTTTTTCAATAAGAATTGAATAAACAATTGATCCAAATAAATCAATTCTAAATAATTCACACATTTCTTTTGCTGCACCTATTTCATGTTTTTCAAAGAACAAATAATCAACAATTTGTTGTGGTGAAATTGTTTGGATTAATTGAATGGCACATGTTGATTTACAATTCCATAATTCCCAATATTCTTGCATGTGATGATTTAGTTTTAATAAATATTCTACAAATTTTATAGTTTTATCATAAACAGGTGCTTGGAATAATAATGTTTGAATCTCTTTTAATTCTTTTTCTTCAGCTTTAATTTCTACATTACCAGAATTATCAAATAATTGTTTTAATCTATTTGATGCTTCTTTTAATATATTAATATTTTCAAATGTATAATGTGGATCTTCACTAAGTAGTAATCTAGTATATGAAGTAAGTGTATATCCTGATGTATAAATCTTTTTAAATAATTGATGAACATCAGTTAATTCTTTAGGTGTATTTTCATCAATAAACTTTTCACATTCAGCAAAAAATTCTATTGAATTTTCTTGTGGATAAGTATGAATCGCTTCTAATAACATTGCTAATTGATCTACTTTTGTAGCATTTGGAACTGCAAGAAGTGCTTCAATAAATTCTTTTGCTGGAAGCCCTTTTTGAAGAAGTGTATTCATTTGTGAATAAGTAATTAACGATTGACTTGCTGGTGGATCAAGAATATCCAATGGAATTGGGATATGACGAGATAATGAAAGACTAAGAAGAGTGTCTGAGTCACTAAGAAATAGTGTTAATGGATCTTCAACAAATGGAAGAGATGATAAAGTATTTAATCTATGAAGTAAAAATTTCATTTGTTTAGAAAATTCTTGACTTATAACACTAGAATTATAAGATAAAACTGTTCTTACACTTTCTACATTTGGCTGACTTTGGAAAATTTCATATAATACAAGTTGAACAAAACTTATTTGTTGTTTTTCATTTAATGAATGTAATACCTCTCCAAAAGTAGAACGTAATAACGTTGAAGTTTCTCCTAATGAATTTGAAAAAGAATTATGAAGGTCATTAACATATTTAATACATTTTAACATAGCATAATCATTACTAAATATTGATTTATAAGCATCATTTTCTTCAATTAATTGTAATAATTCATCTAAATGTTCTAACACTCCAGTATGATGTAACATAATATATGGTAATGAATATTTACCAACTAATAATAACATTGGATGTATTGTTTGAACATTCATTTCAGTTAATTTATTACAAAGAATTAAATGAAACTTTAAGACTTTAATTTTTTCAGATGATAATGTATTCCATCCATTTAATTTGTCATTACTTGTATTTTCTTTAGACAATGAAATTAATAACTCAATAATCTTTAAATTTCTTGGATATTTCTCAGCAATTTCAAGAATTAAAACTGGGACTAGTCTATTAAAATAATGTCCAAGAATATTCATATGTCTTTGAATTATTTCTGAATCACTTTCTGCTAATGTATGTTTTCTTGCAACTTCATCAATAGCATCAAGAGCTGTTTTATATGGAGTTAATAACACATGCTCATTATTATAAACAGTACTTTTATAATATAATTTCCAAAATATAGATTGGTCATTATATAAATTTGAAGTAGAATCAGTTAAAACAGGATTAGTAAATAATGTTTTAGAAAAACTAGAACATTGAGTTCTATATAATTCTAAGAAATGATAAAAGAAATGACTTCCAGATAAGAATAGTGATTGAAGAATACTTGTGAAATTTAGTTTAGGTGTTTGGTTAAAACAAAATTCTGAGTTATTTAAGAATAATGTAAATAATGAGTCAAATGTTTTATCATAACGTTCATTAACATTAATTAAAACTCTTAAAACTTGATATAATGTATTATAATCTTCCTGAGAAAGTAAACTATTAAATGTATCTAAATATGCTATCAACACATTTGCTGTTACTAAATCATTTTCATTTACTAATTTTACTAATTCTTGACATAATAATCCAAAGTGAACAGGATTCTTTTGAAGTCCTTCACAAAGGAATTGAACTTCTTCTTGTCCTAAATGAGCAACTGAAGGGTCATTAACAATTGCATAAAATGAAGTAAAATATCGTTTTCTATCTTCAGGAATATCTGTAATAGGGAAAATTGCATCCACAAGAAGAATACCAAAATGTATTTTTTTTTCAACTCCAACAAGGTCTAAAGTAAAAAGTGATTCATCAGATTTCTCTGAACTATCTTTAAATGATTTATACAATAAAAATGAAAGCCATGCTAAATGAAATACAGATGGAATATCTTCTGTTGCATTCCATGTTGATGGAACAGCACCATTACAAAGATTAATTAATAATGAAATAACCCAACTTTTATCATTCTTTTTATATAACTCTTTCATAACAGCAGAAGCTGCATGGAATTTTCCATGTTTTAAAAGTTCATGAACAAGTGAATGCGATTTATTAAAATCATCAGCAGTAAGGAATGGGAAAAATGATGACATTAATTAGATTTTTAAGATTCTGGTTCTTTTTTTTGTGAATTGTGAAATTCGTTTTTTCTCAAAAAAAAAATAAAATAAAAAAAAATAAAAAAGAATATCAAAAAACAAAATTAAAAAGATGGTATTAAAATTATAATAAAAATATTAAACATATTATTATATGAAGAATTAACCCTATTAATTTTCATTGAAAAATTTTATATTCAATCCAACAAAGGATGAGTTCAAGACCATTTGTCACCATTTATGATGGAATTACAGGAGAAGCTGAAAAAACACAAGTTAGACTTCCAGCTGTTTTTCTTGCACCAATTAGAGGAGATGTAGTTCATTTCGTTTATAGAAATCAAAGTAAAAATACTAGACAACCAGAAGGAGTATCAACTGAAGCTGGTAAACAACATTCAGCTATTTCATGGGGAACTGGAAGAGCTGTAGCTAGAATTCCAAGAATTAGTGGATCAGGATCAGGAAGAAATGGACAAGGAGCTTTTGGTAATATGACTAGAAAGGGTCATATGTTCTCTCCACTTAAGAATTTCAGAAAATGGCAAAGAAAAACACCAAAACAAATGAGAAGATTTGCTGTTGCTTCATGTATTGCTGCTTCAGCTGTTCCAGCTCTTGTTTCAGCACGTGGACATCATATTGCAGGAGTACCACAAATTCCATTAGTTGTTAATTCAAAATCAATTTCAGTTATTAAGAAGACCAAACAAGCTGTTTATCTCTTAAAGAAAATTAATGCTTATTCAGATGTTCTTAAAGTTATTGCTTCAAAGACTATTCGTGCTGGTCAAGGAAAAATGAGAGGAAGAAAGATTAAGGAAAGAAAAGGACCATTAGTTGTTTATGGTAATGATGATCTTCAAGCTGTTAAAGCCTTCAGAAATATTCCAGGTGTAGATACATGCCGTGTTGAAAATCTTTCAGTTCTTAATCTTGCACCAGGATGCCATATGGGTAGATTCATTATTTGGACTGAATCAGCATTCAAGAAACTTAACACCATCTTTGGAACTCAAAAGAAGATGGCACAAGGTAAATCAGGATTCAGAATTGCTCATGCTCAAATGGTTGTTCCAGATATGAAAAGAGTTGTTGTTGCTGCTGAAAAAGCTAAACTTCTTAGAGCTAAAATTGTCTTACCAAAAGTACCAAAGAGAGCTAATCCACTTAAGAATTGGGCTGCTATGGTTAAATTAAATCCATATGCTAAGATTGCATCACATAAACTTGCTCAAGTTGCTAAAGCACAAGCAGTACATAAAGCACAATATGCAGCTAAAATGGAAAAGATTCTTGCAGCAAAGAAAGAAGCATTAAATCAATCAGTTGCTAAGAGATTTGGTAAAACTCAAAAAGTTGATGGAAAGGTTGTTAAAGTTAAAGTTGAAAATAATCTTCTTAAAGCCACAGTTAAGAGAACTGCTAAACAAGATGCTTATATGAAGAAGTATGATGGAATCGTTAAGGCAAATGCCAAGAAATATGCTGAAAAAATTGGATTCTAAATTTAATTTAAAACAAATGGTGATGATAAGAAATTTTATTAGGTTTAACTTTTTTTAAGAAAAAGATTTTATTTCAATTCATTTTTAAAAGTGAAAAGAATGGATGTATTAACATATAATAATAGAAAAACTTCTTGGTATTTCTTATTATTTCATTATTTTCCACTCTATAAAACAGTTCAACCATTATATAAAATTGTATTTCAATTTATTCCTTTTAAATTGAATGTATTACAAACAATAAAATCAAGTCCTATAATGATCAAATTTATTATATTTAAAAATTACCCAAAGTTATTTAATTTATTCAATTGTAATTGGAGAGAAAGAATATTATTTAAAATAGCTAATAGTACAGTAAATATTCAAATTCCATTGTTCATACAAATTTCAATTTAAAGAAGTTTTTGATTGTTTTTTTTTTAATGAACTAAAAAGGAAAAGAAAAACAATTTATTTTAGTTCATGTCAGAAGAAATAAAAGACATTAAAGAAAATAAAGAAATGAAAGAATTAAAAGAAGTAATTCGTAGACAACATGAAGTTCTTTTAAAATTAAAGAAAGAAAGAGAAATAATGGAAAATGAAATTAAAACATTAAAAGAAGAAAAAAAAGAATGGTTAATTGAAAAAGAAGAACTTAAAGGAGATATTCAATGGAGAGAAGAAGCAATAACAATAAGAAAAGAATTATCGTTAGTTGCAGAAGAATTAGAAAATTGTCAAAAACAAAATTTAAATTTAAGAAGAGAAAATGATAGTCTTAAAAGTGCAGGAGAAGAAGCGTTTCAAATTAAAAAAGAAAAAGAAGAATTAAAAAAGAAAGTAAATGATTATGAAACTAAAATATTAACATTAGTTAAAGTAGTTGAACAATGTAAAAATAAAGTTAATAATCAAACAGAACAAATGATGAAATTACATGTTCAACTTGATGAAGAAAAATTAAAAAATGAAAATTGGAATAAAAGATGTTGTGATATTTGTAAAAAAGTACAAATAGAAATAACTCCAGAAGCTATTATTGATAAATTAGAAGAAACAATGAATAAAATTAAACAAATGAAAATACAAGTTGAAGACTATAAATTTAGATATAATAGAGCAATTGAAAGAATGTCTGATTTGGAAAAAAATGATAATTCATTAATAAAAGATATTGTTTCAGAACAAATAAATGAAAATAATTTTATTGAATAAATTCTTCATTTACTGTTTTTAATTTATTTTAATTTGTTTTTAAAATTAAAAAAACTAAAAATTAATAAAATAAATTATATTTAAAATGGATGATGAATATACTGAACAAATAGCAAAAAAAACTAATGAACTAAAGCGTAGAAGTGTTCAAATTTCTCAACATATTAATACAGAAGATAAAGAAGTTTTAGATAAATTTCAAGAAGAAATGGAACGAAATATTGATAAAGTAAGTAATAGTAAAACTTCAATAAATTCAGTTGCTAAAAAACAAAGTTCAATTGGATGGTTTGATTTAATTTATATTGTAATGATATTATTGTTAATAAACTATTTAATGGGAATTTTTATGAATATCTTTCATAAATAAATTAATAATTGAACTTATCTCTATTTACTTTCTATTGCAACTTTATTTTAAATTGAAATAATCTTTTTATAATTTCTTAATAGATCTTTTTTTTCTTTGATAAAAGAAATTAATTGTTTTTCAATTAGTATTATTATGAATAATAAAAAAGAATAATAAAAAAAGAAAACCCTTGAAAAAAAGAAAAAAGAGGGTAATAAGATCAAGAGAAACTGCATATTTCCAAAGCCAAGTCACAGCCATGGGAAGGTTTGTAGTTTTAATAATTAATAATAAAAAATGATAAAAGAAAAATAAAGAAAACTAAAAGAATAGAATGTACAATCCAGGTAGAGGTATTAGCAGAAGATGCATTCCATACAGAAGAAGTGCACCATCATGGTTAAAAACAAGTACACTTGAAGTAATTGATGAAATGTGCAAACTTGCTAAAAAAGGAATTGCCCCATCACAAATTGGAGCAATTATGAGAGATACTCATGGAGTTGGATTAGTTAAGAGTGTAACAGGATCAAAAGTACTTAGAATTCTTAAACTTGCAGGACTTGCACCAAAAATTCCAGAAGATCTTTATTTCTTAATGAAGAGAGCTGTTTCAGTTAGAAAACATCTTGAAAAGAATAAGAAAGATAAAGATGCTAAGTATCATTTGATTCTTATTGAATCTAAGATTCACCGATTAACAAGATACTATAAATCAGCTAAAGTACTTGAAGCATCATTCAAATATGATGCTAATACAGCTTCTGCTATCGTTTCTTAATTTCGTTAAAGTGAAGATTTTGGTAATGTGTTATTATTACTTAGTTTTTTTATCTTTTAAAGAAAAATATTTACTTGTAAAATAAATAATTACTTATTTTGTAAAAAAATTAAAAATATTAAAAAGTTATATTTATTTTAATATCTGTTGTAATTCATTTTCTTATATTCTTGAGTTATAGTAAAATTGTCTGGCTTATTAACGAATTGAACTAAGAGAGTGTTGATAAAGAATTTCTCTTACAAAAAAAAACTATTTTCTTATGTTATGTCTTTGATAATATAAACAAAACAACTAATGTCAAAGTACTGTTAAATAACTTTATACCTAAAATTCAAATGAAAATATTTGGAGTAATGCTACGTTTTACGTAACAATACCACTTATTATTTTTTAATAAAAAGAAATAGGTTTATGTTTAAAACTGTAAAACATAGAAAAAAAAAAGAATTAACATATAACTAATAGAGTAAAACAGTAATGCTATTTTTTTATTTTGAATATTTTATTATTACTTCTATTGAGAAAAAACTGTAATTGCATAAGATTTGTAAGTTTGTGTATTGAAATAATAATTGTGTTAAATTGATATATTAGTTTTGTACTAAATTTAGTATTAAGGGTATAAACATTAATTAGAGAAGTTGTAGTTTATCACACGCTTATTGGTTTTTTTTGTTTTATTAATAACAGCACTGTTATACGAATAATAATTTGTTAATGAAAATTCTTTTTGTGAATTATTGGGTTTATTTAAAATAGTAATTATTTTGCTTACTGCTAAGACATTTATTTATTATTGTATTTAATTTATAAAATAATGTATTTTTTATAATGTAGTTTATAATTATACTTCCTACATTCTCATATATACTTATTATATGTATTATGTGTATATCACTGATATGTGATTTTTTGTTCATAACACCACTTGTATTGCTTGGTTAATAATATCTGTATTATTGTTTTTGAATTGTACTATAATTTGTTAGTGTATTTGTTTTTTTTTCTATCGTTATAAAGTAGTTTTATTTAATACCTATTAAAAAAGAGTAAAAACTTAGTCAAATTATAATTATTATACTAAAACAATTAGACTATAGAATTTAAATAATCATTAAACTGTATTTTACATTAGTGATTTTTTATATTA